AATGACAGAACTAAGAGATCATATATGTGTTCAACATTCACAGAACCTTCATTTATAATTGTTTAATTATGAAAAGACCATAACAAAATCGATATATAATATAATAATTGATAGTGGTTATTAGTTATTTAAATTTGAAAAAAATGGTTAACAAAAATATTGTATTTTTCTTATATTATAACCTAAAATACTAAGATTTTTGGTTTTTTTAAAGTATGGAACAATTAAAATATGTTACAAAATTTAAACACTATTTTTTTGATTAACTTGGATATCCAACCCGCTATGCAAGCCGACTAATACCAGTGCGATTGAACCTCCGTGGCCACAAAAAGATTTTTATTCCTCATTGGATTTGAACCTGTGACCTCCCTGGTACTTTTGACCTTTGGAGTCAAGCTCAAACCAATCAGACACCACACTTGTGGTTTAAATGTTAAAGTTTATTTACTATTACTAATTAAGTATAACTTTCTTCATAATACATATTACGAGTTTCATTATACGTACCAAATTTTATGAAATAAAAAATAAATCTACACATAATAATCAATAGATAGCTGTATATAATCAATTTTTACAAATATAAAAATAAATTTTACTATATTGTTGGTAAATTTTTTAAAACAAAGTTTTATTATATTATTAAATATCATATAGTTTATACTGTTATTTACAAACATCTAATTAACTTCGGACACATAACAATGCATAATACAAGCCAAATACACTAAAAAAACCATATGTCTAGAAACTAAAACCAAATTATTATATATAATTTTTACAACAAAAATAAAATATGAACATATAAGTTATACATATACTATTATTTTTTGTTCAAATTAACTAAATGAATTAAATGGAATACAAGGTTAGGCTCCGGTGATTATGACCCACCTTTCTTGAGACCCTTGAAACCACATTGAAGTCGTTGGATGACTGAACCTTCACATAGAAAAACCGCACATCCATAGGAAAAACACTTAATCCACGGTGAATTTCCTTGGAAGGTTGCCAATGACTGCAAAATGGTTCCGCGGATCTTACGAGAAGTGGGTGGTATCACAGGATCTCAAGTCTATAATTTGTTGACGATATTTGGATTTAACATGGAGAGGGAAGAATGATGACATGACATTCTCTTTCGGGTATAAGATTTTGTGATATTTAATTAGAGCATTTTAAAACAATGTTTGAGTTGTATATCTAATTCTATTTCATTAATTTGGAAAAGTTTATGTATTTGTTTCAAAACTAAAACTAACATTATTATGTTTCTTAAAATTAATTCTACTATTATCTTACTTAAATAATAAAGTTCAAATTTAAAACTATATGTTAAAATCTTAATAAACTAGTGATATGTGTGTCTTTTTATTTATTTTAAAGTTCAGATGCAGTACTATCAAGATTAAAATCAATAAACATTTTTATTCTTAAATGATTTAATGTGTTTGTTTATTGTAACATCTTATGTAAGGACATTAAGTGAGAGTTTGACAACTTGTCCCATATAGATAGAAAATAAGATTTGTAAGCACTTAATAAAGCTTAATTTCACGATTAACATATAATTTGAGCTTTATATATAAAACGTCATTTTTCCTAATGATTCTAAGTTGATTTAGAAATTATTGGTCAGCCCGTGACATCTCTAACCCGTTGAGAATACATCATGCAAATTAGCAACTAACTATTCCAACAATAAAAAGGCCATCGGGATTAAAAGTCAATTCTCATCGTTTTAACTATTCGGGTTTGAAAGTGTCTGATCAAGAGAACCCACTTCCATATATATATTCATAAAGGTGATACTGATACATATATTTATACTCACATATGATTCACAAACAAATTGGTCTCTGAAAGTCGAAGATATCATTAGTAATATAAGAATTGATACTAAACTGGAGTGCTAATCCCTAAGCGAGTTGTTAATCTTATCCTTACATAGTCTCCTCCCATGTTAACAGTAATCGATTTGAGCAGCTAACCTTGGGAAAGAGTATGTTGGAAAGAAGTAGCTTGTTTTAATGGCTAGCTAAATGACAAATGAATTGATTTTTAAATAAAAGTTTACCGTAATGCGAGATGACTAATCTGGTTTGGTTTGAATGTATATATAACTAATCAATGGGTTAGTGGCCTGGTGGTGTAATTAAGTAGTTTAAATTTTGGTTTAATATCGATATATATTATTGTCCTAGTACTCTTGGTCAACAAATAACTAGTTAATAAATCGTGTCTTTCTATTTGTTCGGCTATACTTGTATGAATAATTAGAATCTAGTTTTAGGTAATTGATGGTCCTAGCTAGCTACCTAATCCCCAACGATTGTTTGTAACCCCGCTAATAATTAACCTTCAAATCAACTTAAAACAATGATAGAAATTTATGGGCGGCCAACAACTTAACCTGAAGCTTATAAAGAGGTCACAATTAATTCTCATTTCTACTTATGTTAGACTGATACATGATCTATTTTGTTAAAAGATCTCTATGGGCAGTGACGGACCCAAAGGGGTGGTTGAGGTGGCACGTGTCACCGTATTGTTCCTCCGTGGTAAGGTAAAAAAATTAGATTCGTGATAGGTGCAACCCTTTTGTTTTAGAAAGTATGCAACCGTTTTATATGGTGCCACCGCATCCAAAAATTATTGGGTCTATCCCTGACTATGAGCATGATTTAGTGTTGAAATATGTGAAGAATACATGAAGGTCGTATGGATGAAAGGAAACAAAAAATACAAAAAAATAGTGAAGGGACCTACACAGAAAGGTAAATTTAGAAATGCCACACTTATATTTATAGTGTACATACTTAAGATTTTGCTCATATATTTATACTTCTTATTGCTTATATAATTTATCTTTGTAACATGACAAATATAATAAGCTTATAAGGACGTTTATTGTGCCCACACACATATCAACTGGCTACGAGAGAACATAAATGGACGTAAAATGATCAAACACCTTTGAATGTAACTCATTAAATATGGTTCTCACTGTTCTTTATGCATTGAAAAATATTCGGTATTCGTATAAAATATGAACTATTACGTTCTTTAATGAACTTCAGATTTTTTCTAGTGTTTGTTTATGTGTTTATGGACTGCAAGCCTTTGATTGCCCTCCAATGACTATATAATTAAAGATGCATTGAAAATATAGGGATGATAAAGGGAGAAGGTGACGATAGGTCACTGCAACAGGCGAAGGATGGTAAGGCTTGATGTAAAGCATCGACTGGGTCACCAGAGTGCCAAGTTAGAGGTGGGCGATAGCCATAGAAGAGAGCCGATGATAAGGGTTCCAAAAAGGCGGTAAATGGTGGATCTGGAGATGAAGTGGGCATATAACAGAGAGAGCTTAAGGGGGCGATTCCTAAGTCGGAGGAACTTTTCTAGAAACAGAAACTTCTTTCTCTTTACTTCACCTTGGATATCAACATTCTTCTGGTAGTGTAATAGTTAGTATATTCCAGTTTTGCATATAGGATTGATTCCTTATCTCTGTAGCATGACCAATAAGCAAATAATAATAGAAAATGACCAACATATATGCATTCTAAAATTAGTATCTTGATTTTCTATTCTTACATTAAGAAGTTCTAGAATTTGTGACACCTCATTAACAATGTCGCCATATCGATACACACATACACCTTTACATTTGTAACTCTTTCTTGTAACAAAATTTGGAACTCAACAAACCAAGTTAAGTGGGACATTGGCAACTCGGGTTGGAACAACTCAAAAGTAGCATCAAAACATGTACTTTGAAGAAAGAACTGATTCCCTTCATGCTTTAATGTTTCTTAAACAAGCAACAAATAAAAAGAACTGAAACTTGCTCAAGCTAACAAAAAGCAACGAGATCGGATTTCAATCTTGGCCTTTGCTTGTCAAAGAGTAGATGACACAAGCTCTACTCGTTTGGGTACGGTGGCCTTCAACGAAAAACAAATAAATATAAGTTTTTTTTTTCCTTCTTAATTGATATTCTGATCTCAAATTAATTATATATACTTTCAGGTATTCTGCTTTATTGATTATAAGAAAAAACTTGAATGCTTGTTCAAAGATTTGATTCTTTCCTATCTACTCATTATCTTCTTTTGAAGTCTTTACCTTTATTAATTCCCTCCCTGAAGAGACCCATTCAACATCTGGATCAGTTCATTAAAGTGAAGAATAATATTTCATCACACATAATTCAAAACATGTTATTTTTCTTCCATGCTTTTTCAGAGAATTTTATTTTATTTTATTTACTTCTTTTGCCAAAAGTAGCTTTTGTTTTGCAGTACTCATAAGTTATGGATCGTATCTTTGCGAAGCTTTATGCATTCCAACATTTGTACTCATCTTGTGACCATAATTCTGTAAATGTTTAAATTATAACAAAAGGAGGGTCTAATCAAATCATCTGGAAGGAATGTTTTGAATGAGATATCCATCAACAACAGATCACTTTCCAAGCATGTTTATAGTTCTTGAAAATGTGGCTAACAATTTGTCTTCCTATATTTCTCACAAGCATTATTCTCCATTTGCTGATTCACTAGACAATATACAGATGTAAGATTCAAACTCAAGATATTTAGGATTGTCCTGAGCAGAAAATGGTTCATTCTAATTTATTGGTATATTCTTAGAAGACTTCCAAAAAGATAAAGCTTTTAATGTCTGCCCAATATAGGCCTTCAAAAATTGATTGAAAAATCCGTTAGTGTTGGTTTTAACTTAAGACCTCTGTGTTTACGCCTAAGTATGTTTCGTCACTTAAACAACTATCTAGAATGAATGGGCGTGCTTATTGTTCTTTGGTTTATACATCTTCATTGAATATTTTTCATCTCAGATTTGGTTGATTGACCATATCTCACAACCGAAGGGGGACAAATGAGAAGTAAAACATGAACAAAACTTGGCACCTTCTTTCTTTTGTTTCTTAGATCAACCACATATATAAATTACTTTATCATGAACATAAATATTTGCAAAACTGATTGCTAGAAGATTTTGATTACCATACATCTAGAATCACATATTCATCCACAAAACCTAAACTAAGAGTGTCTCAGAATATACCTTACGTCACTCACGTTCGTAGTTGAAGAAAGTATAAGGAAAAAAAAGAAAAATATTGCAAAAAAAGAAATGCGCCATCATCCTTGAATGATCCAACTTGGTGGTTGTTCTCTTCACACTAGATTTTGAAAATAACTTGCTTATCCACAGAATTCAAAATCCCAAAATCTTCAGCATCAATGTTCAAATCTAACATGTCTGATTGTTTTCTTTCCCTAGGATCCTCAGTTTTCTGTTCACTCTCGCTGTGTTTTTGCCTCATAGGAGAACATGATCTTGAAAGCGACCTGAAGCTTTCACAACTAAGAATAACAATGGCATCCTTGAGATGAACTGATTTACCACAAGGTAGTGCGATTCTCCCACTCTGGATTGCTTTCTTGATGCCCATTTGGGATAGGTAGTCAACTTGGTCCATGTCTTCCAAGAAGAAAACGCGACTAGCATTTTCCTGTACCGCCCCTCCAAACCTTTCTATATAACTCTGCCCATCTTCATCTCTTGCCCTTTTATTACTAATTAATTCTTGATCATCATCCATTGAGTTGGATTTTGTTGATGAGAAGCAGCTCAGACAAATGGGGATGAAGTTGTTCTTTGAGCCAAACACAACTGTGGCTAGCTCTTGTGCTATCATCTCTTTTCCTTGGCTGTCAGCACCTAAGAAAAACAACCATGTCTCTTCTTTGCTTTTCCTTTCAGTTAACCCGGATCTGCATCGAAGGATAGTACTCACAATTTCTGGAATAATCTCTTGTTGCCTAGGAACCCTTTTCTCCAATGCATTGCTTAGAATCTTCATGTTCTCAGAGTTCACCTCTCTGAACTTGTGCAAGAAAAATTCATCAGGATCTTCACTCACCTCACTACAAGAAGCCGAATTTGGACTTGAATTTGGGTTGGATAGGAGGTCTGGTTTTATAGCTACAGGATGTTTTAAACTGCCCTCATCAAGACTATCATCACTATCAATCTCAAATGTGAAAAACTGGTGCTCTTTTGGGATTTTATTGGAGTCAAATATTATTGGCCAGTTATGTTGATGGTGATGCAAGCTTGTTGAAGACAGGGACGAAGGAGAAGAAAGATTGAACGCTTCATCAAGAAAATGGGGCTGTTTGTGAAGTGAACAGCAAATTGAGTTCCATTTCTTGCAAAGGCTTCCAACTCCGTCATGTTCCTGTAGCATATAAGATACTATTACGACTGTTGGAAGATTTAATTGAAGGTCCAATTAGCAGGGAAAAATGTTTAAAAAAAGTGTCTAATGTAACAAGAACGAACCTGATCATTGATATTCTGCATCTTTCCCTTGCATTGTTGGAGCCATAAAGGCAAAGTGGAGGTTGAAGCAGTAGTATCAGATGTATTTTTGTTGGTACAGTAAGCTATGCTTCGAGCTTCTGTTGTGAAATTTATCGAACACTCACCACAACAAGTGAGTAGCTTCTTCTCATTTGGTGAATCTTTCCTAGAATCATAAAACCAACTTCAAAAATTATTCTATCATAAAAAGCTATATACATGGAAACTCTTTTGGTGTAAAAGTAACTATTTATCACCCATCTACTTTATGAAAAAAGTGAAAACGAAATAATGAAAATGTATTAATTAAAGACAAATTTTCCCGAGTTTGATTACCTATATTCGAGATTAAGGGTGAGGTCCAGGCCACCAACAGGAGTTGTATGAGGAAAAAGATCCCATAGAGTCTCAAGAGAAGGGCGACCAGTTTTGCAACTCATGTAAGTTTGGGAATTGGCTATCCCCATGAGCCACAACTTCCCACTATCGCCAAAACCAAACATCAACCTGCTAAGTTCCATGATCATGTGCGCCATTGGGGAGTCGTGGTAGGTCCTCAACCTTTGCTCGCTGTGCTTCGACCAAAAATCAGAAACCCACTTGAGATCACCCAGATATAGGATCACTCCTCTCTCCGCAGAGCTTTTTACTAGAAAACTAAGCTCCTTAACCTTATCTTCAACCTCTTCGCTTGAAAGATGACTTAATGAGTGCAAAGGAAGACTTACAAACTGCACGAACCTCAAATTGCCAGGAAAAACTAAGTTGTTTCCTCTCTCTAATTTGTCAATAACTCCTCTAACTATGTCATCAGCACTAACCAAACACTCACTCATAACAACTATGTTTTTTCTTTTCCTATCCATCATTGTATCTATAACACTCATCACATCCTCATCCCGGACTCTGGGTGTGAGTTTTGATTTATTACTGCTGCTAACCTGGAAGTCTTGTAATATGGGCCTAATGTTTCCTCTGGATTGGGAAGAGCTCAGGAGAGTTCTTTGGGAAGATATCTCCATAGAGACACTTTGTTCGATACTGTTTTTTACTTGGGTACTAGAAAATCCAGCTTCTCTCATGACTCGACTCACACTAGGGTCATCTAGTATGGATATAATCAGCTGCTCAACCTCCACTTTAAGAGCTAAAATGGGTTGCTGTTGATTTTCAATCGAACCACGTCGTTGGTGAGCTAGAGCCCGCTTGAAGGCTGCAACCAAAGCATTGGAGAGAGAGGGGTGGTGAGACTGATTTGGACTCAACATGATAGGGCTGGATTGGGAAGTAGGGAGGCGGTTGAGGGCTACGTTGAAGCAAAGCTCAAGAGCCTTGCATTGGAGGGGGTGAGAGTTAATTTGGAGGCAAGCCTTCCGAAGAAGACCAGTTGGGGATGTGAACATGGCACTTGCTACATGGAGGGGTGTGACTTGGGCATGGCCTCTCCGTCTAGCGAGGCCAAGAGCTTGTTTTACAACCGCAGCGGCTTCAGAAGCTAGTGTGTGTTGGACTGTGTATCCTTCAGCCCTCATGTTTACGGTGTTTTTGAGATTTTATCTAGCCAGATAGAGATCAAGAGAATGCTTGTATGGTTGTATTTTTCATGTAGGCTTTTGACTCAGTGAGTATAATACTAATGGTGTTATCTGGTGTACCAGAAGGAGGGACTAAATAAGTAGTAGTTTGGGGGGCAAGGAGGTTGGGTGATTGTGCTTTCTTTCCTTCTTATTTTTATTATGTATGTGAAAGTGGAATCCATGTGAAGGATAGGAGTCTCTCTCTCTCTCTCTCTCTCCTCATATATTGGGATAAAGCCATAAAGGTACAAATACATAATACGATTACGATCTATGGAAATTGTACTGCCTTGACTGATTACTGTAGTCATTGATCCAAAGACCATCATTTCCCTTGCTTTCATGCAAAAACATATTGCTCGTAATACTCAGGGAACAGAGAATATATGTTTTAGTTCAAAACACAATCTCAATTAGAAGAACATATTTGTCATATAAAAAAACCAGTTTTATACTATTCTATAAAGAAAATATATGTTTTTGTTCAAAAGACAATCTCAACGAAAAGGAATATATTTATCATAACAAACCGATTTTATACGATTCCATCACTTGTTATCAATGCATATTATCGTAAGCAATATTCGTTTAGACCACTAGTACTTATTTTTAATTACCGACATTCAATGTAATATCTAATTATCTACATCTTGATTACATTTATATGTTTACTTTGAAAACTTAATGTTGTGTGCATGTAATTCACTTCTATCTGCGGGAAGTTTGCATATAACTTGTGGGTATTTTGGAAAAAGAAATTAAGAATAATCTTGGTATATAGAGAAAATATTTAAAAGGGTGCAATTTGTAACTTTTCTTTTTTAAAGACTGCAAAAGCTACTGGTTGTGGAAACTTTGTCCCCCTTCATTATCTTTATGTTACAAAAATGTGCCCTCTCTTGTGTATACACCCTCTTTATTTGAAAAATGCAATAATTTTTATTAATCTAAAAAACATAATTTTTTTAGCATTTATTTATTTATTATTCAAGACACATATACTATTAATAACAGTGCTCTCTATTTTATCTTATAGCATATTACAATCAACTAGACTACGTATCAAACCAGTTATAATTTTTTTTTTTTAAAACGAAAGAGATATATATGTATGTATGTATGTATGTATGTATGTATGTATGTATGTATGTATGTATGTATGTATGTATGTATACATAGGGAGGTTTACGGGAAAATCTTACAAAAAAAAATGAAAAACTGAGGAACACTGATAACAATTCATTTGGACGGTATTCACTTGTTCATACAAGTAATTGAAGACGTTTCTTGGTTTTTTTTGTTTGTATGTATGTTATGCACATGTATATACCGGACAAATTGCTTACAAATTACTTGTATTCACATGTATATACCATCCAGATGAATGGTTACCAATGTGTTTCTCAAATTTTTATTATATATATATATATGTATGTATATATTGATATTTTGGTGGCTTGTCTTATGAGAGGATTAAATAAGCAAGTGTTAATTTGCCTTTGAAAAGGGTATACGTAATGGAACCTCTTTTTATTAATGCAATAAGAGTATTAATGAAATGCTAAAAGAAATCCCTCTTTGCCTTCTTTATCTCTTCCTTTTAATTTCATTTAATTTTTTTTCTTCAAGTTGCAATCATCACTAGATTTATTCTACGATTGCCTTTATCTTTTTCCAAACGGCTATATAAAATTAGTCTATGATTGGAGAACCTTTTAAGCCATTGAGATTAGTTCCTCAATCATTGCTCATTATTTTCATGACAATTTCTTTATTTCCTTTTGGAAAAAGATATATTTTTAGTGAGATCAGTTTGAAGCTTTGATTATTATGTTACATGCATGTTAAATTAATGCTAACACAACTCATAACTTTTTTTTGGTCTCTCTTAAGTCTTCAGTCACTTAGTGAATCTGCAAAGGAACTATGGGACGCCTTGGAATCAAAATACATGACCAGGATGCTTCGAGTAAGAAGCTTTTCGTGAGTAATTTTAACAATTACAAAATGATTGATCCTTGCAGGTTGTGGCGGGTTGAACGATTTGGTAGTATACATAAAATTGAGGAATGGAATACAATAAATACTACTAAAAAACATACAAAACGAAGTATTAGTTATTACAATCATCCAAATATATAATTAAATCCTTAAGTTTTAGGATCAAGTACTTCAAATCATTAATCAAGTACTTCAAAAGTTTGAATAATAGAAGCCCCAAACCGCTCAAATCATCAATCAATTACGACACATCTAGACTCTGAGTACTTCTTACATTGATTTTTAAAGTAATTCCACAAAGAACTTGTACCAATTCGGTTATTATAATAAGCATAATCTTTTCCACAATAATTACAATTAAACACATCTAAACTCCTTGTTTGAAAAATGATCCCAAACATGTGAGGTTCAACCTCCTTTTTTACTTAGACGTGTTTGGTTCGTTACTGTCTTTGATTTTTGGAGACTTAAGAGTATTTTCCATTGCTCGGGAAATACAAAGTTACAACTACAAGATTGAGCGAGTGCCGGTGAAGTCGAGTTTTGTACCTAGCTATCATGTTCTACCGTGTAAGTCGATAGCAGATCCAATTTATGTAGTGTTGTGCTTGGGATATAAATGTTTGGGTTGTAATGTACTAAATTGTATTATATATATTATTTGGACTGTAAAAGTTATAAATAGTAAGTAAATAGTATTATATATATATACTTTGGGCTGTAAATTTGTCTAAGTAGACTAGTATTTTTTTATTCTTATACTATATATAAATAAAATTTTATAAAATTTATATATCAGTGGCAGGTTGGGCGGGTTGATCTATGTCTAACCCAATTTCAACCCTCTTCATTAGTGGTTTGGCGAGTTGGGTTGGCCGGGTTCACGGGTTGAAGGTTTTATGTACACGCCTAAATAACACATAGTTTTGTGCATCATTGCTATACTATAATGTTGATTTTTGTAAATTTTGTGACATTTAGGCATGGGAATGGACCCCGACCTGTCGGGGAACCCGATCCACCCACCCCGGTTGGGGACGGGGATTCCCGCTAAATCGGGGATGGAGACAGGGACGAGGATCCTCATTTGTCTCAAACCGGGGATGGGGATGAGGACGGGTATGGTATTCCCCGCCCCGCCCCGTACCCGTTATATATTTTAATTAATAAATTATATATCTATACTATATTATAAAGCATTTGACAAAAACTCTTAAAAACCACTTTTTATGCGTAAAGTACTGTTTATTAATGCATATTACTTAAAACTCAAGATTGCAAGTAGATTGTGCGTAAGTACAACTTATTAAAGCTCCAAATCTATATGAATATGGCAATATTCCTTCATGTTTTGCCCTTAGAAGCATTAACAGCAATACTGTCAATTTTCTTTGAATTGACCTGCTGTTTCTTGAAGCCATAAAGCTTAATGTTAATTCTTCTCTCCAGTTCTCAATTCCAGTGGTGTTTGCTTTGGTTATTCAAGTTATCTCCAATTGGATCAAGCTCTAAAGCTGAACTCCTACTCAACTTGCGATTCAATGAAAGATTCTTTGTCATAAGATTGGTTGCACTGTTTTGTCAAGAAATTCACACATTTATCTATCCCTTAGTTGGATGAATTTGCTACTTTTGGGGTTGAGTGGCTATTCTATGCTTCAAAGTATGTGCTGGGTTGTAGGCAGATTAAAGCTGCATTGTGCAATAAGTGGTGCTGCATTCACATTGAATCTGATTTGGTCTAAGAGTTGAAAATGAAGAACAAAGAACTACATTCAGGGGGGAGCTTGAAAATTCCATCCATACCAAGCACACTAAAGCTTTACTCAAGAAAGCAGAGGGGAGAAGACTTGAAGACTTCATGAAGATGTTTGCTTCATAAAACTTTGGGGGGGAGATTGTTAGGATCAAATTGATCCTAATTATTCTAAAAAGTTTTATTAAGTAATCGGGGCTAAGGATGAAAGACCTGAAGATGTTGCTGAGCTTAAAACGTTTATCCTCTTGTTGGTCTATCCTCTTGTTGGTCTAACCTTTGGTTGGTCTTTCCTCTGGTTGGTCTATGCTCTGGATGACTATCTTCAGAATCTTGAAGGATGATGCTGATCCCATTTTCGATAATGATTATTTTCTTGTTTATAGGATTTAGTTACCTTATTTATAAGATTCAATTATCATGTAAATATCGCCTATATAAAAAGTGATACAGACATAGAATAGAAGTGAGATGAATTATCAACACTTTGTAACACACAGATTCAAACACATCACATGAGAGTCGATTAGGGTTTTTGAGAGATTGTATTTTCCATTCAATAAAGAAAGCGGCGGCCGATTTCTATTCATCTTCTTCTATAAATTTCTTTTTAAATTCCGTTACATTACTCTACTGTCAGGTCTGGGTTTAATAATAACATCGATAGAGACAAATAATAAAATAGAATATTAAAATCAAGATGTGTCTCGTTGCATTGCGCGAGTACTCTTCTAGTATATATATATATATATATATATATATATATAATTTCAACTAAAACGGTAATTCATAATTTTATATTTTCTAACTAGGTTTATTATCTAAAATTGTTAGTTTTTGGATGTTAATATGTAATATTTTGAATGTCAATTCAAAATACAATTACTCGATAAGTTTTGTATATTACTCGATATGATTTTATATTACTCAATATCTTTTGGTATATGTAACTTTAAGTTTTTTTGGATTAAATTGAATTTTTTTTGTTTTAGGTTATTAGTTCTTATACAATGTTGTGGTTTTTTGTAATAACTTAAATTCATTTTGGTTTTAGGTTTATTGAAAATGCTTAAGATTTAAACATGTATGGTCTCTCACATATTTAATCTAAAATAACTTACATAAACGGAAAAAAATCTCCGTTTCCCCATTGGGGATGAGGATGTGATTATATTCCCCGTCGGAGATGGGAACGAGG